TCTCTTTCAAGAGTTGGTTTCCACCAGCCCTGGTGGTTTGTGGGCGGTTCAAATCCCCTAGTGGGTTTGCGCGGTCACCCATGTTTTTGCTTTTCAGCGAAGGTCGCAGGTTTGACTCCTGGGCTCAAATTTTTATAATTTGCGGCCCTTACACAAGGGGTATCTTATAACACCTAATGAAAATTATGCAGAGACAACACTCTTATAGATCTTTTTGGTTTTTGATTAGGCTTGATATTATGAGTCACTGTTCTTAATTTTCTTTTTTCTTTATACCAAGGGTGATGCAAAGATCACCAAGAAAAGCCATCTTAGTACTGCAATAATATTGTTCTGGGTAGGACACGCCATTTTGAAAACAGCATCTCAAAAAACGCCATCTCAAAATATGGCATCTTGAATTTCTGCTATCTCAATTTACTAGTAAAAACGCCATTTTGATTTACAGCATTTCAACTAAGAAAAAACAGTTTTAAAATTTTAGATTTTTTGAACTCTAAAAACTACCCAAAAAATTCCCAAAAATAAAAATTCAAAAAACATTTCTAGGCTTAAAAAATCCTCGAAATTCCAAATCTGTAATAAAAAAATGGGGTCAATTACTAGCAACAAGGTTGCGTAAAGTCCAAAAGTTAAAATAATCCCAAAAACAACCATTTTCATATATTTTAATTATAAACTATGCTTTAAAATAAACATATATTTGTACCAAATACCAAATAAAATTAAAATAATGACAAAAGTAAAGGAAAAAATAGAGAAGATAGAGTGGTGTTTATTGAGGAAGGATCATACATTGGTTGAAAGAGCAACTGAGATAGCTTGGAGATGCTCAAGCTTGCTATCCTTGGGATAGTAGGCAAGGACCACCTTGCTAATCTCTGTATACTTTTTCACCGCTTTGGTTTGCTTGGGGGGTCATCCTTGGTCTTCATGCCTGTTTTAAAGAGGCGGACGGAGATGGCTTGTTGAGTCTTGAGATGCACCATGATTTTGTTGAACTTGGGCTTCTGAACCCGGACCCTTGTGGCAAATTGACTATGCCACCCTTCAAGAGAAGAGGTGGTCTTGATTAGGCCATCCTTCACCTGCTTAAAGCAGTTGAACACATCCTTTGCTTCCTTTGTGCCTTCAGTGTAGACCTGCTCATGAAGTGCAGAGCACTTTTGAAGGCGGCGGCAGAGTGCCTGCCAAAAGTGAAAGTAGCATCTCTGAGGGGAGCTCTTGAAGACTCTAATAAAAGCATTGTCCTGAGCCTGCTCAAAATCTACTACCAGGTATTCATGGTATGAAAGGCTTTCAGGCTTTTTCTTGATGGGAGTGGCTTCCTCTGACTGGGCCTTTTTCTTGTGCCCTCTAGTCTTCTTTGGCTCCTCTTTAATAGTCGGGAGTATCTCATCCAACTTGGCCTTTAATATTGTTAGAGCCCAGACATAAGTTTCCTGCTTCTTATTTGGGAGGAAAAAGAAGACCAGGGGAAGAACAAGATTGCCAACCTGCCCATGGATATTTCAAAGCTGGCTGAAGAGCTTTGGGCAGGTGGGAAAGGTACCATCTACAAGCCAGGTCTTGCATTTTAAAAGGTTGCAAAGATCCTGGGAGGTAGCAAAGCAGATGATCCGATCTGGGGCATGTTGCCCATCATTGTGAAGGAGAAATCTCTCTTTTTGCCGTGAAAGCTTTTGCTCTTCAGTTAAAATCAACTGGTCAATTGATGAAGCACTGACGCCTTCAGTGCTCAGAGCATATCTCTAGTCAGTGAGATATCTCTGAAGTTTTGAGGCACCACCAACAGTTGCAAGTTGGGTATCATTTAGATTAATAAGTGCATCATTTACGACCTCAGTTGCAGTTTGGTCTTTGGTGGTTGGTATGACCTGGCAAAGAAACCAGCAGATCAGTTGATACAGTAGATCAAAGGGCTTGGCACAGTCATGCCCAATAGTCAGGGCTTTAAAACAAGTGAACCCATAGGTAGTAAGTCTAGCTGGACAGCCAACGTTATCACATTTGAAGTGATGCTGACGGATGGGCTTCTTCTCGTTGTTGCAGCTGAAGCTGTAGCCCTTGTGGACAAAGCCAGCACCCCCTTTCTTTGTCATAATTGGATAGCTGACAGGGTAAGTTGGGGGCACAGCAAATGTGCCATTTCTGTTGCATACATTATGGATGGTATTAAGATCCTAGAGCTCAATTAGCTCATCTGCAGGAGCACCAGGCTCAGGCCCCTGCTCTTCTTCATCCTCAGGCTCTGAAGTGGGGTCAGAGTGGCGGTTAAAGTTGAACAACTTCCCTTGAGGGTCTGACAGGGAGTAAACAAAAGGAGAATGGGGAGGGGTTGGGCTTGTTTCCTCAGGCTCTGGTGAGGATGTAGGGGTCTTGGGGGAGCTTTACCCTTAGCAGGCTGCTGTTTAGGGGTATATTTGGCCTTTTTGGCCTTTGGAGAAGTGGTCTTGGACTTTGAGGCCTTGGAGGCCTTGGACGCAGCTTTGTTGATGGACTTGGGAGGCATCTAAAAGTGAATTAGTATCAAAATATGAGCAATTTGGGGGTTGTTTTTAAAGAGAAAAACAAGAATTTTTTTAATATAAAAGTACCAATTTTTTTACATAGAATTGTAGAGGAGATCAAATAATATTTACTATCAAAATTTCAATGTTTTTTTTGAAAAAATAATTTTTTTATTAGTAACACAATTAGGCAAAACTTTGAGTTTTGACTGAAAACTTGCTCTCAAGATGGCGTTTTTGAAGTGACGTAATTGAGGTGCCATAGCTCAAAAACATAGTGTTTTTGACCATTTTTTATATTAAATTAACAAATTTACAGTTGAGGTAGCTCTTCCGGGCCAAAGAGTAAAACTTGAATTTCTCAAAAACTAGCTTATACAACTGGGGTTAAAAAGTACCCAGTTGTTTAGAGGAGATAAAAAAATATATATTTGCAAATTTTCATATATTTTCTTACATTTTTATTAATGTTGGTTTTGACGTGAAACTATACTTCTTAAAAGTGGAAAGCAAGAATCTTGGTGAGGGAATTGATATAGTGTAGCCTGGCGTCATATGTAATTTCCCCTTATTTTCCCCTATCCATTGTGCGCCTTGAATCAATTGGGTGATGTGAAACTCGGTGGAATTTGAAGTGATGTAAATCAAAATGGTGTAATCACCCTCTTCTATAGTAAAATCACTATTAAAATATTTTATTGATGAAACCCTTATCAATGTATCCATGTATAATAAAGTTATAAATTACATATAATAAAACTGGTTTTTTTTACCCAGCAATGACAATCACTAGAAGGACTATCATAGTGGCGTCTTTTTAGGTTGTTCCTTTTATAAGTGTATTGGACTAATACTATAGGAACATCTTCTGGCACTATATCACAGGCTTTATTTTAGTTTGGGTATAAACTTATTTTAGTTTAAGATAGATGGTGTAATTTGAAATGATGTAAAGTCAAGATGGCATAAACACGCCCCACACTAAGTGTTTTCATATGTAAATAAAGTTAGCAAAATAAGATTTAATTAATCTGACTTGAAGTGACGGAATTGAGATGGTGTAAATTTGAGATTCTGTATTATAAAAGTATATGTAAATTTTAACTTTTTTATTGTTTATTTTATTTTTTTGTGATTCAAAAGCACTAACGCAAAAAACACCATCTCAAATTAAATTCAAGATGGTGTTTTTTGAGATGCTGTCTCCTACCTTGTTCTGATGGTTTATCCCCAAAAATGAAATCTAAACTTTTAATTTTAGCTTTTCTCTCTTTCAATAGAGACCATTTTATCTTAAATAGTGGAGTCTTTCTGTAAAGTTAAGGACTTATTATGTTATAAAGTCTGTATTAAGTCTTTGAGCAACTTTTTACTGACTATATTGAGCTATTGATTAAAGAATAATTTCCTGAGAGAGAGTATTAGAAAAAAGCTACAACATAAAGATAATGAAGTATGAATTCTGAATATGAAAATTTTCAAAAATAATGTTTATTTAAGAAAAAATATCTTAATTTTATAAGCACCATAATAAAATAAAATCTGTATATTTGTATTCCTTTTTTACTTGTGCTTTGATTTAAATTTAATTATCATAAGTCATTATAGTAAATAAATTTCAGTAACAATAATATAAAGATCATTTGGCTATATATGAATACTGGAAAACAATTTTCCCTGTTCATGTTTACTTATTTTAAAAATTAATTTATGGGTAGAGAGTATATGGATTTGAATTATCTATTTATATATAGTACAATATATGTCTCACATTATAGGCAACACGTACACATTGGCACCTTGGCAGAGTGTGGTCACAATCACCCCCAAAGAAATGGCTACTCTGACGCGGGTACCAATGGTGATAACAGGTGCACAGACTCTGACCTGGAGACTGTTCAACGAGGCCTTCTGGAGTGAGTCAACATTCCCAGTGGACCACCCAATTTGCCAGTGTGGGCTTTGCCCATTCAAAAATGCCAATCTGGAGCACAAATTCTTTGGTTGTATAGTTGTGTTGCGGTTCTGGACAGAAGTTGCTCACATGCTGAACCTCTCTGTCCATTTTCAACCAAAGTTTGACATCTTCTTCATGAGGAGTCTCAAGCGGGAACCCCCAGTAGTTTGAGCAGTTGCTTATCATCCTGCACTGTGGACTATACACACTACCTGTATAGATGTAATCTTTGACAATGGACCTAACCTGGTGTCACTCATGAAGGAGAAATTCCGCTCCCTAATGGACAATACTATGATCTGTACAGACAAATTTGGCCACACAATTCCTGGTAACAGGAAACTTATGGACACCATTGTTGACTCATCCCACCTCATAGTTGAGGGAGTAATACAATGAAAAGACAGGCACACAGAGGGCCTTCAGAGAGCTACCCCTTCCTCTGGTATCCCTCACTTCCCTCCCCCCCACAGCCGCGTTTCCTTTTAAATGCTGTCTCTGAACCCTAATAAGCCTGTGTTCCCTTAAAAAAAGGCACCTTGGCAGAGTGGTTAACGCGGAGCCCTGCTAAGGCTTTTCTCTTTGGGAGCGCGGGTCAAATCCTGTGGGTTTTGTTTTTGACATTTTACATTATAAAAATATCTGTTTCTTTAGTTGGGTGCCAAATAAAATAGTGTGTTCACCAAAATCTTTGGTTTTCATAAATGAAAAAGGCTAAGTATACAGTAGTTTTCAAACCTGTTGAGATAAACAAATATTAGTCAGTTTATAACGTGCAGGTTCAATCACACAATGCTTTTTAACTTGTTAGATCTAAATAAAAGAAATTTTCATGGAAAATGTGTACTATTTGGGAAAAAATGCCCAGTCACCCAACAACCTATGCAAAATGAGAACAAATATATAATGATTCAACAACAAATGTACCAAACACTAGAACGTATGAATTTCACTCACATAACAAATCTACTATGTTTACTATGTTTTAAGAACACATCAAACTCAGTCACAAAAGTTAAAAACATGATCCAACAACAAACCCTAATAACAAGTGAGACAGACAACAAAAATATATAATGTTGCAACATCTTTGATTACTCCCTCTTGGGGAATTAATACCTGAGTAAATCACCAAATGGCCCACCAAACGGTTCACCAACTAGTCAATAAGTTGGTGGCACTCCTATCAGTTGACCATCTATTACAGGGATCAAACATCCAGATCCTAAAAGGAACACAACTTGAACAAGCCTCATGACTTAAGAGGAGCATTACTCAGATAAGCCCCATGACCTCCATGATGTACATGAACAGTATGTGGCTTTTCATGATACTATATAATATTCTATATTCATATCAAATAAAGTATTATTCTCTTCTTAATCTTCCCCTTTATTTCGTTTATTATTCTTCCCAGAAGTATAAACTCAAAAATAATATCAAAACAAATCAGTGAATCTATAATACTGTTACTAGCTCCTCCTAATTAAGACATACAATCTAGAATCTGAAAAGGAAATAAATATAATAAGTGTCTGTTTTGGGATTAAAATTATCAAAAAATCAAATTTATCCAAACACATGATTAGCAGTACACATTTACAACCAAAAATAATTAATATAGAAATCTAAAAATCTAATTTGAAATAAACAGTAGTGACTACAAGCTTTCATGCTACTATATATGGAGAGATAAAAATTAAAGAAATAAATTATATAGATAGACTGATTTTAATTTAATTTAATTTAATTTTATTATTATACCAAAATTAAGCTTCATAACAAAAGAGTAATAATGCAGCTGCTATGCGCTGTGATGGTGTTGCCCCTGTCAGTCAAAGAACAGAGTTAGTGCAACACAAGTGCCTACTCAAAAAGGAGACATGAGAGGAGATTATTGGTGGGTTTGCACTTACACAACCAGTTCAAGTAGCTTGAGGTGCAAGGGCACGGAAAATAACCCCTAGGGTCCCCAAGCTGACCAGAAAATACACCAAGGTCATCACCACCAAAACAGTAAATGCTGTCATCACCAAGCTAGTGTCCTCTGTGTACAACCCTGCATACCGCTGTGATAGTGTTTCAGCTACTATCATGGAGAAGGTGAAGCCTGTTCTTGACACCACATACAATCCTTATGTGAGTGATAACAAAGGGGAAGATGCCAACAACAAGCCACAGTATTTCCAAACTACTGATGGGCAGCAGGTGCTCAGAAATGCTGCTGTGTTCTACAAAAATGTGCCTATGCACTGCATTGTAGCTGATCCTGTGGAGTTGCTTCCCAACACTAAAAAGCCAAAGTACCACATTATTTCCAAAGCCACCCACGAGACCTTTATCAGACTCATGAAGGAGACACATGACTGAAAGAAGGCTGCGGCACTTGTCAGTATTTTGGCAAAATCTGCTCATAGCTCCAAACTAAGTACCTGAAAACTGGTATTGCTCTTCTTTCAGATAAATCTGAGTGTGAACCATTTCTATTGGTTAAAGAACACCTGTGTGCCATCCAGCAGAGGATTTATTGAAACTGCCAACTTGAACAGGAAAATATTCAGTCAATGGTTGAATCCACTTTCAGAATTGAGGCTTTGATTTCTACTTGTTATTGCGCTGTCAAGAGTATGAGATTCTCTTGGAAAAAACTTGAGGTTTCTCTGTACAATCAGAAACGCCCAGAAAACATCAAATACTGTCAGAAATACGCTGAGACATTCACTTCTCTTAAGAAGACTGGAACTATCAAATTCTAGTACATCAACAAGCCCTCTTTTGCATTGTTCATATGAAATGCCTACAGCTATGTGCCTAAAGGTGAAAAGGATGACATAGCTTAGCCTGCAGCTTTCTGTTCTGTTGCCTACTCTTTGATAGCCCTTCTTGGCCCCTTGACATTAGACTATATCAGATAATCAGGGGTTTTCAAAATAATGGGACATTTCTTGAATTTCTCTGATTGGTTTGGGAGCATCTCTAAGTCACTAGTTTGGGTATCACCAATGTTATTGTATTGGATAATGTTGTGCTCCACAAGATGGAAGAAATTATAAATGAGTTCCCAGTGATTTACCTGTCATAGAAATTGGCTCCCAACAATTGGCTACAGCGCCTTTACACTTTTTATTTCTCTCACCTATTCTCCATTCCTCAATACAACCAAGGAGGTTTTTGGGTGGCTTAAGCAAGTCATCAAGAAGGGAACACCATCTGGGCCCAATGATTTGTTCAATTTTCTGCAGGTTGATGTCCATACCCTCCCAAATGAAACTGTGGATAAATTCTATGAACACACTAATTTTTTCTCCCTGTGTGCCTCTCCAAGCATCCAATCAATTAAAGGGTTAGCAATTCTGTTTTTTTTTGAATTTTATTTTTAATATTTGTTTTTTATTTAGTTTAATTTGTATTAACTTTATTTATGTGATTCTTCTTGTATACTGTCAGGTATAATAAAAATTAACAAGGAAAATCCAAATAAATGAAATAATAAAAGTAAAATATTATTTTTAGTTTTTTTATTTAGTTTAATTTGTATTGACACTCTTTCTGTGATTCCACTTGTATACTGTCAGGTATAATGTAAATTAACAAAGCAAAGCCAAATGAATGAAATAATATACATAAAATATTATTTTTAAATATGTATTTATTTGTTCTAGATGAAAAATGCAAATACTGTATATTTTAAAAGTAGAAATATATAAGAGATTACAACTTTTATTTGAGTTGAGGGGTTTTATTGGGGATGTGATTGGTGGAATTCCAGGACTTGTCTTTGAAATAAACTAAAAATTTCTATTGCCAAAGTGTATGTTAACACAACTCTCATACTATATAGCCTGTAGCAGTTTAATTATGAAAGCACTGTGATAAAATTGGCCAAGAGGATCCTTTCTAATGGAGCTGACATTTCATAGGTGGCGGCAAGAATACCTGCACCCTGAATAACATGCCCTATTGAGCTGTACCCAGACAAAATCCTTTTTCCATCTAGTAAATATCAAATTTGTCCAGCTTAATTATTATTACTAGTGTTTTGCAAGCCTCTGCTTTAATCCCCATTATTATTAAAAGACCTAGGTAAACAATAGAGAAGTTTCTTCCCTGCAAACAGGGCTGAGAACTCACAAAGTTTATTGTATAGAATACTTATTTTATTTTTTAGTGATGTAGTTGCAAAAGGTTTTTTCTATGATCATTGGGATTTCAGTCTTGTCAGAGCACCAAGAGGCCCCAAAGTCTCTAAGGATACCCATAACACGGGGTATGACAGCAGATAAACTATAGGTAAGGTTGATTACTTTTTCTTTAAACCTTTTAGGACGTGCAATATCATGTAATCTGACGGGAAACATAATCAGACTTATTATTGTCCTCTCTCTATTTTGGGTAAATTGTAATATGGCATGGTGTTGAAAAAGTCCCAGACAAGGGGGACAAATAGCTTGCAGAATTTGGGAGGCAGAACATACTGGTTGAGGTGGATCTTTGGGGCCGCAACCAAAGCTGCAACCCGCCATTCAGTGTCATATGATTTTTTTTGGAGCTCTGCAAGCTGTGTTGGGTTGATAGGGTAATTTTTATTTAATTTTTCTAGAATTTTGGATCAGAAAGCTGGTGCCAGAACTAGCTGACACCCAATATGGGGGATATAGTTGCTGTAAAAGGTCTCAGTCACATGTGGTTTCCAGAATTATTGTAGTACACCTTTGTGCTCATCTGTAAATAAAAAAGTATGTATAATCATTTATTAATTTAGTATTTTATTTTATATCTTCTTCTATATCTTTACCTGTTGGCCCCTTGTCAGGGGCTGTGTTGTAACTGTGCTGTTTCAGCAGAGTTACATGGGGAAAATATTTAGAAGATATATAATAATCTTTATTGCAAGATAGTGATTATATAGCTATTGTGAATCAATGGATAGCAGGAACATGATTGGTGATCACACGGCTGGATGAAGGAGGGGGTGGCTTGATCCTGATAATGAGTCAAGCGCCAAATCAAGGTATCCACTGTGAAGGATCATCATCTGTTCATGTTGATGGATTTGGTAATTCAAGTTGACTTCCTAGTCTGGCTTTGGGTGACCGGATAATTGGATTGCGGGTAACAAACCTGCTTGGTTGGAACCTTGCTGGCAGGTTGAGCCTGCAGTTTTGACACCCCCTGGCTGAAGGTCGGCCTCCTCTGGGGGCAGGTTTTCAGGGAGGTTATCAGGAGCCCAGGCGCCATATTGAATCAGTTGTTGTTTGGTGGCAGGCAGGGCAGTTTCTTGTTGTTTCTGTCTTGCTTTGCAGGGTTGTAGGCAGTCGTGGTGTAAGGTCTTATCTTGCTTGCATTTCCCAAGCCCTTGCACAAGGTAAGTGTTATTGTTGTTTACCTTTAGAATGATTGCTGGCCCTACTTTTTTGGGTTGTAGTTTGCTTTTGTCAACATTCATGACCCAGACTTTGTCCCCAACTTCATGTCTCTGGCAGATGGGAATGAAGGTCTTTTGTAAGTGTTCCTTTTCTTTGGTTGCTTGTTTGCTGTTGGCCTCTATTACTTGAGGATCTGAGCAAGGGGGGACTTGACTTGGAATTTCCAGTTTGGGTCCTGTCAATGCTTG